ACTCGTGGTCCCCTCATTGTATATCCTCCCTCCATCGCAGAGTGAATCAGGGAACGTAGAGAGGCGCTATGGCTAGCCCGGTTCGACTCCCTCCGGAATAATGATCGTTCTGTCACGGTGGGGTTGGTATGTGCGCGGCGGCGCTGTCGGCCGCTGTTGGGAACAACACGCAGGCCAGGCCGCGGTGCCCGCGGGCCGATGAGCGCGAGACGGGCGGCGCCGCAGCCGGCGCTTGCGGGATCGATGCGCTGCGCTGGCTGCCGCCGCTGGCCGCCGCAGCCAGCTGTTTTTGTCGTGCCGACTGCGCGCAATCGATTGCGCGGCGTGGCAGGCTCGACGTGCCCGCAAGCGCATTGTCCGCGACTCCGCTGTACGGATGCTGTCAGTTCGCTCGTTCGCCCGTCCGTACGGCTAGAACTCCGTCCCTTCCGTTCATCTTCTTCTTCTTTCTCTATCCCCTTTGCGACTCGTTGTTTTCAAGTGACGAGGTCAATCTGAACGCTCCTCACTGCCGTCTCCGTGGAGATCCGCCACGGCAATCACGAACCCTCCGTAGTTCTCGGCATCAGAGTAGCGCTCCTCTGTTTCCGCAGTCAAGAAGCGGCAGTCAGTAGGTAGTGTAGAGGTTGAGAGACGTGGAGCATGAGCATTTTATGGCTGTTAGTCTCAGTTTTGGGACCCCTCATTAGTTGCTTTTACTTCAGCCTCCTCTATTCAGCTTCTAGACTATGGACCTTAGAAAAGGTGAACTCAGTTCAATCTATCTGGTGACAGGGTAGATTGCTTCTTTTAGTTTCTTCTACTCCATTCTTGAAGAGTTAATGGGAGGGAAGCCATACCTACCCCACCCAGATGATGTGGATTACCTCCAAATGCTACTGACCTGGCACGGCTATTGCCTGCCTTCTTGTCAGCTTTTCTGCTGCAGCATTCCAATATTCTTTGACAATTTCTCACATATGAACTGCCACAGGTTCGAATCCGCTAGGAGAACTGCCTTTGGAAAGGGTTTGTTGACTGAAGCTCTGTTCCCACTGGTTTTTCTTTGAAGTCTCGTCATTTTTCTAGGAATCCTGAAATACCGTAACTTCTTTCCAAAGCTAACCCTGTAGGACTACGACATATTCAAAAAAAAGTTCACTCCAAGATTGGAATTTTCGAGCCTGGGCGAGCTCTCGAAGCTCCAAATCAACGGCTGGCCAACTAAGGGGCTTTATGAGATCTCTAGCTGAATCTTTTATTTTTAGTGACTACTTTGATAGTTTAGGAATCTTTCTACAGGCTCCTTCATCTTTCACTTCAAAATTTTCGATTTTTCGAATAATTTACAGCTTTGACTGAAATTGCCTCATATTGGCGCAATAAGGCCCCGAATGTAGCCAGTACAAAATGCGTGGGTAGAGGATTCTGCCAGGCGTCTCTCGGCTTAATCATCGCATCGATCAGCGGCTATAGAATACTGTATCTGTACTGTAAGATATTGGTTATGGAAGGGCTTTCGAAAAAAAATGGCCATTGAAATACGGACTTTATTTATTTCGAAGTTGTTAATGCCGCTGTTCAGGGACGTCCCAAAGAACGGACAATCCTAAGACTTCGTCCAGTGCATAGTTTTTCCTTGAAAGCCTCTTTTTTTCTAGCTGCGAAATAATCCCATTTCCTCTGATTGCTCTGGGAATGTGATGGTTGTCCTTATAAAAAATATTCTATGTTATATTGGGTTTTACTTTTCTCCGGCAATATTTTACCCAAAAATTGGTGCTTTCTATCTCTCATCTTACTTACTGAATTCGACATTTTTTTGATTTTTCATTGATTTAATGAGCTGTTTTCTTTGACTTGCCATACAAAAACACAAAAGGGGTTATCGGAAAATCCATTTAGTTGGCATGGTGGTGTTGCTGACAAAAGGAAAAATAGATAAAAAAAGAGGGTTAATTAGAAATCTTGAAAATCACCCAAGTAATTGGTGTCTTCTAAAAGAAGTCGTGAGCTACTGTTCTCAGTCCCTTAGCTCGAAATGCTTCGCTCCTTCCGTCTTTGACTTCTTTTAAGGTTTTCAGAGGCTTGAATGAGTGTATCACCCATTTTCCTCGTTGTAGTATAGTGGTGAACATACGCGTCTGTTACAGGTGATTACCCACTCGTTGGCTTATGGTAACCAGGCAATTCGTTCAAGCTTTTGNGTAGCCCTACCGAGTGAATCTCGTGCCTTTAGATCGTCAACAGGAAGCTCAAAAAGCTGGCCCGCTTTTGAAGATCTCAATACACACTCTATTCTCGGAGCTAAATAGTGCCGCATTAATCTAACTGTACGAGTTCGACTGTACGAGTTCAACCTCTTCAATCACGGACATCGGTGGAAGTAGGCATAGGTAATGGTAGGGGTGAAACTGTAGCTCTGTCAGTCTTACGGAAAATATGACTGTCCTATCGCTAAGGGTACCTAAAGGTCAGGTCTGGTTAATGAATCGTCAAGCATGGATACAAATCTGCCGTCTTCCTCTTTAATCATGCAAAAGTCTAGCATTTTATGAGTTTTTCAAACGGATAAGATCGGTGAAGGTAAAATAGTTACTAATGGCACCTTCATCCAAGTTTGAGAGTTTCATTCCAAAACGAGGCTCCAATCCCAATTGATCAAGGCTTAGCTTCCTCTGGGGTCACTCAATTGAAATCAGCTTTCTCCAAAGGACATGGGAGCACTAGCTCCTCCTACCCGCTTTCGAGCCTTGTGTGGGGCGAATGTGCCTTCACATATCACGAAATTTCCCACTGGACGTCGAACTCATGGCGCAACCCAGAAATGGCTTCATTTGGCCAAACAGTTCATTAGCTTCAATCGGTCCCATACCACTTTAGAAATGTAGACAGTCGTACTTCAAACTAAAATGAAAATCCGTTCCAATCGCTTCTTCTTTGCGGACAGCATCAATCTGTGGTGCGGAGATTATGTATAGGCCTATGGGAGGTGCGATGCCTCTGCCTGGCCGTATTTGGCGCGGAATAAATAATCCATGCCACGTCGGTCGGAAAGCATTTCGGGGCCGTCGGGCTGAAAACAGCCACGTACGCAACGCCCCTTGTCATCATGGGAACGGAGTGTTGATTTGACATGGAACTGATTTGATGTCAACGTAGTTCTCAGTAAATGTGATGGCGTGTAAGGGCGTAGACACCTTCAGTTNGCACCACGCCTAGGAAGGAAGGGATGGTCATGTCCGCAGAGATGTAGGCTCAATCAGAAAAAGCCACGAGTTTAATTTCTGCCTAAGCAAAGGACGATTCAAGCGGCAATCCCGGGTTGGCAGACCGGCAGAGGTGCTCTTGATGGAACGCCAAAGACTGAAATAAACTGTAAAGGGTTGCGAATCATGTGTATGTATGTAATGACGCCCCTTCACCATAGCAGCACTTTCCACAACTTCCAGGAACTTTAAGAAAATTGTATTTAGGCATTTTCCTACAATTATTTCTATGAACCACTTCATCTGACAATGAGAAACGTTTTCGACTTTCTAGTTCTGATTTGAGAAAGGCCTATGAAATAGCACATGCTTCTGTTGAAAAAGGACGTACCCTAGCNCAGAGGTGCTCTTGATGGAACGCCAAAGACTGAAATAAACTGTAAAGGGTTGCGAATCATGTGTAAGTATGTAATGACGCCCCTTCGCCATAGCAGCACTTTCCACAACTTCCAGGAACTTCAAGAAATTGTGTTTAGCCCTTTTCCTACAATTATTTCTATGAACCACTTCATCTGAGAAACTTTTTCGACTTTCTAGTTCTGATTTGAGAAAGGCCTATGAAATAGCACATGCTTCTGTTGAAAAAGGACGTACCCTAGCTGGATCGTATCGCACAAGGACAAGTGAAGATTCTCGTTGCCGGAATTTGGCTCCCTCTTATTCCTCAAGCTCTGCGAAAGCCCAAGCCCGCTATAGACCTTAAGACTGCAAGAAATTAAAAGAAAGTTCAAACTGTGACCACTGGGATCTACAGTTTTTGGGTAGTTTCTTTGGAGTTAAGTACTGGCAGAATTACTCTTCCACAAACAAGATGATCCGAAAGAAATGCGGGATCGTCCCTTGAAACTTCTCGTTCAGCCTTAATGGTTCATAGGAAAGCAATTCGTTTCTCTATGATTCTTGGTAAAGCCCGCAGAAGGCTGTTCGTTCTCTTCTTACTAGAAGGTCATATGAACCTTGCAAAATCCCTCTTTCAAAGAATCTATGAAAAGTTCAAATACAAAGCGAAAAATGGAGTACCCATAAAGTTAGTGAGGCTAGAGCCAGTAGCTGAATTGCCTGGGATAGTAAAAGGGTAAAAAAGCTAGAGTCAGGGATCAAAGTTTGAAGTCTTAGACCTTAACAAGTGATTTCGCTATTCCACCAAGTGTCTAGAAAGACGGATCGCAATCGAATTCAGCCTGAGTAAGCCACCTCGTGAGGTTTGGTTGACCAAGATATAGTCGTCAAGAGAGTTAAAACTTCCGGGGAATTCCCAGTCCCTTGAAAACAGTAACTAAAATCAGCGGCAAAGATTGAAAAAAAAACAAGTCCGAATAAATTTCCAATTCCATAAAAAAAAACTAGCCACAGAATGTCCCGGGTTCTTACTGAAGGTTGGCGGTAGTCCGAAACAGGTTGATTCTTCAGAGCATTGAAGTGGTGTTAAAGTTACAGCTTCCTTTCACTCTGTCTATCCTACTCTCTGTACTCAACGATTTCTGACCACTGACCACTCCCCTTGCCCTAAAGATCCTTTCGAACGTATATCTCAGTACTAACCAGCAGTTTTTATAAGCCAAGAAAGGGTCCGATTCTTTGTTTGGGCAATTCTGAAGAAATTGATAGTCAATGTGAATTGCTCCTATTTATAGTGCAGAATCGCTCAATTTCGTTTTTAAACATAACAGAAAAGGTCGCCAGAACGTTTTCTTCCAACGGCAATCGCCTAGACTAATTTTTTTTTTGATTATTGCAGGTGTTTGTGGGTGAATGGCAACAGTGGAGGTGAAGCCGATACTCGGCGAAACTGCCAAGGAAGTTATCGTTGACGTCAGATCAGTTGTCCACACAGATATGTCGAAGGATATCGAGAATAATACAAAATCCTGTGATAATGATGAGAAAGAGGCGGAAGTAGGAATGGGGGTAGGCACCGTAACCTTCTCACCCTTACCGTTCTCATTTGAGTGATCGAGATCGAAGTTTTTCTTGTTACAGCAGTACCCATGCACAGCTGATGATCACTTCGAAATTCGCCTTATTGATGCCGTTGAAAAGAACCCCTGTATCTTTAATCGGTAAGATGTTTGCCTTTTTATTTGTTTACTTTTCTGCTTATTCACTATGTGATTCGGGTAAAATACCAGTTTTAGCTGCCATCCACTTCATAAAATGTCCGACTACAAAAGTCACGTATGGAATCAAGTAGCTCAGCAGCTTTCTTTCTCAGGTGGGTTCATCTTTTCGAAAGTTGGAGGGCTGGGGAAGGTGGGGAGATCTGGGCCCTATTGTCGTCCGCTAGCCACTCGAAAGCAACTCGAAGGCTGCCAGTGAGCCTTATATCTAATCCCTAGCATACTGCCTTCTCCTCCNGTTAATTGCATGGCGTATCCTTAGAAGTTATCATTCGCACTGAAGTATTTTTCTTTGCTGAATCCCAAGGTAACAGGGTCAATGGATATCTATGGATACTACAGTAAGACTATGGACTTTCTACAGTAAGACATTCAGGCCCTGGAGTGGAACTGGAGCGTAAATGGCGTCATATGCGAGATCGTTACGTACGGCTTCGTAAAATCGACAAAACTAGCGCTCCGCTCAAAAAAGGAGATAAATGGTGAGAAATTTAATTTTTTTAAAGGTTTAATCAATTATTAGGGGTTTCATCTTTATTTGAGCGTTATCATTTTTGATTCTTTTTGTGCCCTTAGATTTTTGTATATTTTTTTTTCTGGATTCTTTTTGTTAATATTATTCCTCTATACTTCTATTCTTGTGCTCAACATATCGATTTTATTTTTTATTCTTTATTTTTACATTATCGAATAATTGTATCCTAGGTACTACTACTATAAGAAGATGTCGTTCTTGGATCCCTACATAGAGCATCGAAATAGGCGAAAACGTGGTGATCTTATGACAAGCATCATGAAACTTGGAGGCAATGGTTATTGGTTTTTCATTTGTCTTTACCTTTATTCATTTATTTGTATAATCAATATTTTATTCTGCTAACTAAAAAAAATGAGTAGAAAGCCTTTGGAAGACATTTCTAAAAAAATTACGAAGCCTTTTTTTATGTATTTTTTCTTGATTTCTTTAATGTCTGCGATTCAGCTGAAGGCTTATTCGACTCGCAAATTACTGAAAGAAATGACGAAGAGGAAGCGAGTGATTCTGGCGAAGGAGAGATTGAGGTAAGCTCGGCAAAAGTTCTCCATAGTTCACTAGTACTTTTTTCCCCAAGGAGATAGATTAAGCTTGAGCTAATGAGGTTATGACGTCTGTTTGCCGCGCGCGGCGACTCGTGCGGCGGCTATCGCGGTGACTCTTGAGCAGGTCCCGGGATAATTGATCCGCAGCGGGAAGAGCCTTTGGAAATGGACCTTCTGACACAAAATAAACGTCCTCATAAATGCCCCGATCATTTCACTATCAGTGATCGCTAGAAGTTTATAAGGAGTAGAAATTTTCAAATTTTTATCAAATTTTCAAGCTAATCCTCTATCCAAGATGAAGTTTCAGGATCGTTGCGACCCATTAAAAGAGTTCTATGCAAGCTTTGCTGAGCAGAGTATGGCTATGCCGTTGCCAATTGATGTAGAGGTATGGCATACTTTCGTAAATTTTCATTTTTTTCATTTGTAGTTCGGGTGGGGACATGTTTCTACAGTAAATTAGTGTTCTGGAGAGAAATGCGTGATAAAGTGAAGATGGGGGCTTTATAGAGGTTGTAGGGGTTGCCATGTAATTTCTCGAA